TAGCTTTGCGCTTAACAACAAAAACAAACATTCTAAACATGCACATCTTGTTTACTTTAGTGAATTCCGTGTATACAGATGTAAGATTCATGGGACTCTACAGCGCAGTCGAACATAAGTTGTTAATGATTATTAAGTAAACTATAACGTACGTATTTTGGCCTGTCGCAGGCATTTTAAAACACATCCTTGTATTTGTGACCCATTACTGGCCTTTTTAAACATACATACAGATAATTCATTGCTAAGCGTTCACATCGACTCTTGAGAACCAAGATTGTTCAACTTGTTTGTTTGTTTCAGAATTTCGCACAAAGTTACACGAGGGCTACCTGAGCTAGCTGTCCCTAATTTAGCGGTGAAAGACCAGAGGGAAGGCAGCTAGTCATCGCCTCTCACCACCAACTCTTGGGCTACTCTTTTACCAATGAATAGTGAGATTGACCGTCACATTCTTACCACCCTCTCACGGCTGAAAGGGCAAGTATGTTTGGTGGGACGAGTATTCGAACCAGCAAACAGCAGTTTGCGAGTCGAGCATCCTAACCACCTGGCCATTGGTCTTTAATGTAACCCAAAAAACAAACATATAGGAGAGGGGAGAGATAAGAGTAACACATACATATAAAAAAAAGAGTGTTTTCGAACGATCTAGAAAACCAGAATGCTGAGCAGTTTTTCAAGCTAGTACTTGGCCTCCCATTGGCACAGCGGTATGTCTGCGGATTTAGAACCCTAGAAACCTGGTTTTGATCCCTGTGTTGGGCAGAGTACAGATAGTCCATTGTGTAGCTCTGTGCTTATCTACAAACAAACAAAGCTAGTACATGAAATTATGTTGAAATAAAAGTAGATATTCATATTTCATGTTCTCCAAGAGAAGCACTGAAGTTCAACATATATAATGTTTCTAGCACAGAAGATATTGCTGTAAACGCTCAGTTAGAGTAATCAGATGAACAGAACGTCACTCGTCTACATACGTCATCAAAGCAGTCCTGATGTGATGAACATAGATATAAGTTTTTAATTTAAATTATTCTTGAATATTTATAAACAGATATAGATAAAAATGCATAAATGGACAGTTGTAACAAATATTGTCCAAATGGTGGTAAGTTATTGTTTCGTTATATAAGTATTTTTTAATGATTCAATACAAAAAAAAATCAATTGTTGTTACTTCTGTTATTTGTGAATTATAGACCACTGGCTCACTATACGACGCAATAGCTAGTTGGATTATATTATATTGGTTGAATTGAAACTTTTAAGGTTGCTTGGACGAAGTCTCACGATATTTGTAAAGCGAGTTTATTAAACGATGTACAAACAGAGATAGCATTTCGAAGCAGGAAGCCTTCAATCTACTTAGTGAAAGGGAAAAAAACTAGCTCATACGAGCATATAAGACAGCAACGGGAATCAAAACAACATCCTAAATGAAGAGCAACGCTCGCATCCTCAAGGTGAAACAGAAGAAAAAACGAAAGAGAATCATCTGCCCCAAAATTTCACTGTGACGAAGCTGGAAATATCTCCAGATACCATTATTAAGATGATAGGAACGTATTTGAAGTTGGCAAAGAATCACAAACTTCTACTCACACTTGAAATGTCAGACCGTTTTCACAAGAAGGATAACCAAAAAAAAAAATTGGAATCATAGAAGTCCCACATATCTATTAAGACTCTCAATGCAATTGCAATGGACTTTTGTGCCTTTGAATTGCTTAAAAGTGGTCTTGAAATCGAACGGGCACAAGGAGGGTCCGTGGAAAATTTGTTAAGATTGTGGTCAAAGAATGACCTCACAGTCCTTGCAGAAGTTTTTACAAAAAATGTTTGTGTCGGACATAATCATGATCATTAGAATGAGCATGATCGGTGGTGGTGAAACTGATTCCACAGTCAGCACGTGATCTGGTACATTGTTTTTATGAAATACGTGTAAACGTCATTATAAGATTAAACACCAGTTTATTTGTAAACTGTAATAAATGTATAAATTTTCGCTTGAGGTGCAAAAGACATTTCAATAAGGACTGGACATACCTTTTTCACAAAAACGCGCTCCGACTTTAGGAACATTAATACGCTATAAGAATAAACAGGCAAATCCCACTGTTTCGTCAGACAAAATTTGCCCAAAGAGTTCGCGGTGGGTGCTTTTATCTAGCTACCTTTCTTATAGTCTATATCCGAAAACAAAACAACAAATCCCGATCGTCTGTCTACCCATTCAAATTTGTCCTTGTATAGTTTAGTCTGAAAATTTTAAAATACAAACAAACGATTGAGCTAGTAGTCTCGACAAAGGCTACTACCTAATTAATATCGTTCAATGTCGTTCAATGTCAAGTTTCTGCAAAACCACATAAATCAATATATAAAAAAGTTTGTTCGTTAAAAATAACATTCCCCCACCCCCCAACGTTTTACCATTGATGATTGTTATGCCATTCCCTTGTTATTATTACTTTGAAATAATTACCAACTTCGAGGCAAATATTAATGAACTCGTATTGTTTTTAGTTCTTGTTGTAACAGCTTGTTTAACAAGCATCGCAACTCTTGCCTTTAGCGTCTCTAAACACATCGAAAAACGAATATTGACATTATGTATTTTAGTTACGGTAAAAAACATTACCTTAACTACCATATTGGCTAAAGAAAACACAAATAGGTTCACTTAGTATAGTTGGCAGATACCTAAATAATTTAAATTACAGATAAACACCCACCCATACTAACTTTCAATTAGTGTATATAGGCTTCACCTCTTCACTAAGGATACTTGACAGACACTTAAGTAATTTAAATTACAGATAAAAACCCACCCATACTAACTTCCAATTAATGTAGACAGGTTCTAATTCTTCAGTAAGAATACTTGGCAGACACCTATATAACTTAAATTACAGTTATAACTCACCCACACTAACTTTCAATTAATGTAGATAGGTTCCACCTCTTCACGAAGAATACTTGGAAGACACCTATAAAACTTAAATTACAGTTATAACCCACCCACACTAAATTTCAATTAGTGTAGACAGGTTCTAATTCTTCAGTACGAATACTTGGAAGACACCTATATAACTGAAATTACAGTTATAACTCACCCACACTAACTTTCAATTAATGTAGATAGGTTCCTCCTTTTCACGAAGAATACTTGGCAGACACCTAAATAATTTAAATTACAGTTAAACCCTACCTATAGTAACTTTGAATTAGTGTAGACAGGTTCTAACTTTTCACTAAGGATGCTTAAGCAAATATCTAAAAAAATTAAAAATTCACCTACTCTAACTTTGAATTAGTAGTGAAGTTACACCAGAGTTTTCCAAACTATAACACAAAGTGATATAGTATTTAATATATTCTGCATTAACAGGTTCTTTTGCGACACACGAACTAAACGATCAAATCTTAAGTTTGAACTGCCGGCCTAGTGAAAGGCGACCAATCAGCAACAATCGCAGATTATTTGACTACTTTTAACTAAATAGCAGAACTGACTGTTACTTTTATATTGCGCCCACAACTGAAAGTGTAGAGCGTGTTCAGCAGATCCGAACCTCGGACTTTCCGATTTACAGCCTGACGTGCTAACCACTATTATAAAAAAAAGGGGGTTATAATAATCCATAACTATCAAATTCTAACACCAAAGTCCCGCGTGTTACTTTTGTATGACATACTCTAACCCATATGAATCACATTTTTAATAATTACTACATAATCGTATAAAATTAAAAGGATGTTATCATATGGTTTAATTTTAGTCTTGTGTACATGATATAGCTCTGATCAATAAACTTGATTTCAAACAAATTTCAAAGCCTTAATTCTAGGCACAATTTGAAAAACAATAAAACGTTATATAACTCTTAAAATAGATGATTTTTGAGAATATCCAAACACATTATTATGTCAACATATTATTATAATATCACTTTGTCGATGTTATTAATATCTTTATTGGAATAAGCCGGAAACTTTTAAAAGTGATTATTACCGAATTAGACATTATGAAAAAAACATCAAAAAACAAGCAAGCAAATCAGTGTTGCATTACCTCTTGTCACTCCTTATTTCATGAAAGGTGGATTTTTAGAAAGCGCTCGTGTTATAGGGTTTCGTATCTTCGTGTTAAATCGGTTTCTTGAACCTACGTATTTTCCCAGTCTCGTGAAAGTTTGACATGGGTGGGTTTCAGCTGTAATTTAAATTATTTTAGGTGTCTACCAAGTATCCTTAGTGAAGAGGCAGAACCTATCCACACTAATTTATACTTACTAGTAGAAACGACGCCCTAAGGGCGGCTGTTTGTGCTAGTAATTACTAATCGTAGTATTCATACCTCATTGAAAAAAATTTAGAAAAAGTGAACATTTTCTTAAAAAAAGATTTTTTTCTAGAAAGTACTGCACGGGAAAATTGTTCGGATTGTGCTGTTTAGTCATACGCAACTCATTGCATCAAAATAATTCAATATACATGGCCTAAAATGTTCATAAATTTTACAGATATAAACTGTAATGTTTTATATATTAAAAGTGGTACCGTTTATTGCAAAAAAATAATAGTTATTTTAAGAACTCCAGTTTCTCGGCACTACAATTTAAAAGTTACACCAATAAAGTTATAATCAAACCCTCACGTACAGTCCTAGTGAAAATTGTGTTCTTGTTGTGAGGAAATTATTTTTATTTAAAACTGTTGCACATACCACAGTTATTATTCTAACTGTCTGAATCTTGAATACCCAAAGTGTGAATTTTTTTATCGATTTGTGTTTGTGGTGCTATTCAATAGATGGCGCAGGAGTTTTGGTTACATACATAGATACTGATATACAAGCTACGTCCATTATAGTAATATTGTGGATGGGTTTTGTACTATAATTCGAATTGTTTTAAGTGTCTACCAGGTATACTTAGTGAAGAGGCAGAACCATTATTCTATATTTTTTGGATAATAAAAATGCAAACCTTATGAATTGGAGTTCCCCAAAAGTCATTCCAGAACAGATTGGTGATCGGCGTCTGAGGCCTCAAATCCCGGTTGTCTCTTATCGCTGACATATCGTCAAATACAAACCCACACTGCAGTGAGTTCAAGTAGCACACGCACGCCGCTAGGCTGACCAAAATGTAATGTTCTGTCTTCACTTTGCTATCCATGTCCTCCTGAAATATAAAGAGTGAATGATGTTTGGTTAGTTTTTGGAAAGCAGCTTTGGCACATGCACTCAATAAACTATGACGAACTTTAAAAAAAATGATTATTATTTGATTGTAAACAATGAGGAAAACGAATCCCTCGCCAGGATTCATGCTAAATGGCCAGACTAATCCCTCTCCAGGACACATGTATAGCCGTTTCTAATATTCAGCTACTGACCAGAGGGAAGGTAACCAGTTGGTACCACCCGTTGTCACAAGGACTTTACCCGACTCCTTGAATCGGATAAGAACTGTCTGTCACTTTTATAACGAGCCCACAGCTGAAAATGCGGAGTGTGTTTGACAAACGAACTTCTCGAGCTCTGGGCCCATCAAGTAGCAGCTCATTATATCAACCAATAGACCACGAACGGATAATTTAAACGAAGAAAAAGATTAACATAGTCCAAGATCTATCCGTTGTAAAAGCATAATTTCCGTTGTCTTGCATTCAATTTTTATCCTCCACCTCAAAAAGGAAAGAAAGAAAGGCAAAATTTATATTCTTACTATTCTTTCACCACCATTACCATTATTATTATTATTTGTTTCTTGTTTACATTTGTTGATGAGGAAATGATGATAGTTTTATTTTCGACTGGATGGCTTATCGACGCTTGGCACATTAATACGTTCTCAGATGACATCCATTTGTTTTCTATCAAGCGTAATAAATTAGCTCTAAATGGAGCTAAAGAAGGGACTTATAGATAAAAAGTTCCTCTTAGATACTCATGTACCATGCAAGGTCGATATTATAAGTGGATAATTGGTTGCCAGCAGCGAAAAGCACATATAACGGATAAAGCCCCTTAATTTCATGCTTGATCGACCTGAAATAATCGAAGCTTTGTATACAAATCATGCTGTTATTGGATAACTCTTCTTAATAATATATTATTTAATCCCATTTCACTGTTGTTACTACCATCTTAATCTCCTTTCATTTTCGGCTAAAATATCCACTCTTGTTATGATTCAATGACGAATTATCACCAGATGGCTCTAGCTAAAATCTAAGATCCACACATAATATGATTTGTACAAAGGCGTATTTATGAACATCAAAATTATGTATTTGACATCACAGTTCAATGATCAAAAATAAGAGATAGCCATATGGCTTTGCTCTAAAAGAAAGAAAGAAACAAACCTATTGGTCAGATTCACATGAAGTTCGCACCATAACAATATTTGTATTTTCTTAGATATTGTAAAAACGCAGAAAATCTGGTATATGTTAAGTGTTGCACATGCGCAGTCCACTGGTGCCTTTTTTTTCTTGCCTAGATTTGTATTCATTCCAAATACGTACACGTATATATATATATATGTTTATGCGATAGATATTCATGTTTTTAAAACTTCGTGAACATAAAACTTTGGAGACGGTTTGACTGGGTAATGAAAAAAACTTTATTGTAAATCTACGACGTTTCGACAATATTATATTATCCTCAGGTACAAGTAGTTTACAGAGACACATGAGAACTTTTATTTCTAAACAGTGAGTTCCTCGTCATCAAATTCGTGAATTCAAGCTCAACTAGTCCTGAAATAGAAGAAGGTACAACCTTCAAAGATGTATTTCTGTTTCTTTTTGGTTATGGAACCCTGAAAATGACACTGATATATGCTAGTAAACATTTTAATGAATGTATCTTGAGAAAATTTGAACTTCTAAACGAACTATATTTTCACGTATTTCCTTTTTTGGGGAATTTAATGTAAGACATAAAAGATTATTTTTCAAAAAACGTTTTATAATTTTTTGGTGCCACTTTAAATAGATATTAGTAAGAAGCCAGAAGTAATTGGTTGTGTAAAGTTAGTAAAGATTGTGAAACCGTGAAAACAGTTACTAAGACTTACAGAAAATAAAAGTAAGTTAAAGTATGAAATTATAGGATAAATAAATTCTATTTATATTTATAATAATAATAAGAAAAAGTATTATTATAATAATATTTTAATTTAAAAAAAGAAATTACACTGACTAATTTTATGTTTGTTTGTTTTTTTAATTATGCACAAAGCTACACAAGGGTTATCTGTGCTCTGCCCACCACGGGTATCG